GGGATTTTGAGACGGGGGATGGGCTAAATGGGTAAGGGGCATTAAGGAGTCTACTCCCGAAATCACTGTTACACTGTATGCTAACTAACTTGGATGTAATTTAAAAAATAAATAAGTTATTAAAAAATAAATAAATAAAAAAAAAAGAAAGCAAAAGTATGGTAAACCTACAAGCAAATTCAAAACAAATAAGAACAGAATATCAAACTACGAAGACTTTTCATTCAACAATTATCGAGGGCCTATCTTGTGCCAGGCACTGTTCTGGACAACTGAATACATCATCAATGAGAGCAGGTAAGGATCCTTGCCTTTCTGAGTCATCTAGTGGTCCTTGAAGGAGCAGAAAATGAACAAAAAAAGCAAATAAATTTGTAAATTATAAAAGATATGAGGTGAACCCTTGTATAGGAAGGAAAATCGGGGCGCCTGGGTGGCTGAGTCGGTTAAGCGTCCGACTTTCGCTTAGGTCATGATCTCGCGGTTCGTGGGTTCGAGCCCCGCGTCGGGCTCTGTGCTGACTGCCAGCTCGGAGCCTGGAGCATGGAGCCTGTTTCAGTCTGTGACTACCTCTCTATCTGACCCTCCCTTGCTCGCGCTGTCTCTCTCTCTCTCCTAGAAATAAATAAAACATAAAAAAAAATTTAAAAAAAAGTCTTCCTTTAAAAAAAAAAGAAAAAGAAAAAAAAGAAAAAAAGAAGGAAAATCACGGAGGAGGGTCAAGAGGGGGTACGTAGAGAGATGGTTGAATGCACACGACAGGATGGTCTCCACACACCTGACCTGTTCATCAGGTGTAAGTACTCCTATTCATCAAGACAAACATGGTTTTACATTGATATGCCCCACAAGGAAGGCATCACATTTACAAAGGGAATAATTGAATCACAAGAGGAAATAGACAAATCTCCATATATGGTGACAGATTTTAACACACATCTCTCATTGCTAGAACAGGAAGACACAAAAAAATCAAAAAGTACACAGAAAATTTAAGCAACATGATTGATAAGTTTGACCTAATGAGCATATACAGACTATTTCCTAGACTTTCTGAGCCAGTTGTTTACAACTATGTAGGAAACACTTATTAACATTGCTCTTACGTTTATCCAAGGAGAAATGCTCTAAAATTTTTGTGGGAGTGAGATAATATAGACAAAATTTCCTGACCACAATGTAATTAAAGGAAAAGTACAATGTCATATGTTTAGCAATTGGAGAACACAGTTTTAAATAACTGATGGGTCAAAGAGATATAACAGAAATTGGTCAGTATTTGGAACCAAGCATAATTAAATTAATGCATTTCAAAGCTTCTGAAAAGTTAAAATGTAGCTTTCAGTGTGCCTATTAGGAAAGAGAAAGATTGAAAATAAATCAGCAAAATACATATCTGCTTCAGATCCTGTGTCTCCCTCTCTCTCTCAAAAATAAATAAGCACTTAAAATTTTTTTACTTTCACTGAAGGGAAAAGCGTCTACTGTCCCTGCGTGTGCCTGCGCCCGGGACAGTGACTGCAGTGTAGGTAGGGCTGCTCAGCGCTCTCCCCACCCTGCCCTTCTGCTGCTGTCCTTGCCTTGGCTCTGATCGCTCATGGGCTGGAGGAGAAGACACAGGAACACTGACAACAAGGCAGGTGTGGTCTGGCCCTGGCGGGGGGATGGTGGTGGCATTCTTAGTGGCTCTTTTCCCCAAGGAGCACCGTTAACGACTCTTCAGAGAGTCTTCCCTGGGAATCTGCCATCACAAACCCAACTAATGACCACTCTCTCCCGTTCTGCCTCTTGCTTAAATGTCTGTTCCTGGTGCCTAGACTTCCAGAGCTCTGGTCCCCACACATGCTGTTGGGATCCCTGCTGGGCCCCTGGACAAGTCCCCTTCAAACTGCCTTTGGCTGCCTCCCTACCATGCGGCTAATATTTGATATGAGCAGCATAGGCTTTAGCCCTCCGTTAGTGAAAGTTTCACTGCTTCCAAGACAGCCACCACCGTGTGTACCCTGTTCCCTACACAGAACACAGCAACAGCCTTCATATATCCCATGGGACCAGCAGGCAGCAAAGCCAAATTCCAAAGGACACACATCAAGTCTCTTAAGGTACTCTGCCCACACCGCTCTGGCAGCATAAAAGTCCAAAGGCCGCCTCACTAGCTTTCAGAAGAGAGGGAACTTCCATCTCACTGAACATGGCAGGCCGAGAGGAGTCCCTTATGTGGTGACACAGTTACACCTGGGTCACCTTCTGCACTGGGGAGACGATTGCTCTACAGATGAACCCCAAGATGAACCAAACTTAATTTGTCATATAATTGAAATAATTGAAATGTTCTCTTAAAGTCTTTCCATCTGGGGCACCTGGCTGGCTCAGTTGGAAGAGCATGCGACCCTTGATCTCAGGGTCGTGAGTTGGAGCCCCATGTCGGGTGTAGAGATTACTTAAATAAATCAAACCTAAAGACAAAGGTCTTTTCCTCCTGACCCCTTCAAGTATCTATCAGATTAGTTCAAGGACTAAATCTCACAAAACTGGTTCTTGCTTCTTCCTTTGGGCATCTTATATGGATCTTCTAGCATATGGCTTTGGACTGTGGGCTATTGGCAATTATTAAAGATTCAGCTGAAATGGAGGGAGATATTTATGTCAATATCCTCCACATTCACCCCAAGCCTTTCACATAACCTTCTGACCCAGATATCAAATTAACGCAGGTCATTTACATTGGAACCTACCTTTGACATCTGATATTCAACTTGTCACAAACCTAACTGAACACTGTTGCTCCTGACTACCCTTCCCCTGAAAATCTTACCCCTTGCCCCAAACTTTCCTGTTTCTCAACAGAGCATGATCATCATACCCATCAGCCAGGTGGACACATCCTATACATCCTTCACAGTAGACTTCACACCATAATTCTTCCTCAGGTCTTCCTCTATAAATCCTAGTTTAAATTCCCCATTATGGGTCATGACTATCACATATTTCAACAGCAGGGATAATGCACACATTAAGTGCTAGAAATGCCAGAGACTTCAGCACTCAATTAGAACCGCCTTCAGAGAAAAATGGTACATAAAATATGTTAACAGAAGTGAGTGAACAATATTTCAAAAGCCAAGTAAAGAGGTAATGATTTATTTCATTTATTCATTATTCCTCTGGGCATGTCTTACCTTTCAAACTAGAATCTAAGGTTGGGAGAAAAGAAATCACCTCTTGTAAGCAGAACATTCAAATGGCCCTAACACAGGTTAATTGTAAATAAGAATGCTTCTGCATATCTCTGAGGGAAAATATCTTTCAAACGACCCTAAAATGAAAAATGTCAGGACAGGGGATGAATACTTAGCTCTCTAGAGATATTATCACCCAGATGAGTCACTTACAAGGAAGTACTTTTGAACATAAGAATGGCATGACGGCAAAGAGTATTTTGGTCTCGCAGTGTCATTTGACACACATTTTCTCATGAGAGGCTTTTTCTTCCATGTTGTTTTTACTGAGACTTGTAACGAATCTCAGAATGAGCGGGTACTTAGAATCTTGTTTTCCAGACTTAATCTCTAATCTGTCTCCATAAAATTCACTGAAATGGCAAATACTCTCAATCATGGTCACAGATGAAACAAAGGACAACCATAAAAATTCCGTGAATTTGGATTTGGGTTATCTGCAATCCTTGTGAGTGACAGAAAGTCACCCATCTAACATTGAAGTTTGTGTATTAGTTTAGCAAGACAGAATCTTTTATCTACTGACTGCCAATGTCACAGCTTGGAAGGGTAAGGAGGGATTTTCTAGTGGCAGAAAACAAACACAGAGGATATTTAAAACCATCAACAGCAATAAAAATGCTCTGAAAGAGAAGTGGGTATCATAAGATTTATCAGTCAGATTCTAGCAGGAAAAAGATAGTCTGCTCTCATTAGGTACTTAGGGGAAAGTTTAGAGACGGGACTCTTACAAGCTGTGGACACAGGAAATTTTGAAACTAAACGGGACATTGCTAGTCTCAGTGAGAAAATTACATTCCAACCCTGAGGGGGTGAACAAAAACCGGAACACAGAAGAAAAGTTGGGTCGGGGCGCCTGGGTGGCTCAGTCGGTTGAGCATTCAACTTCGGCTCAGGTCACGATCTCACAGCTTGTGGGTTGAGTCCCGGGTCAGACTATGCTGACAACTAGCTCAGGGCTTGAAGCCTGTTTCAGATTCTGTATCTCCCTTTCTCTTTAACCCTCCCCTACTCATGTTCTCTCTCTCTCTCTCTCTCTTTCTCTCTCAGAAATAAAATTTAAAAATTGAAATTAAAAAAAGAAGAAGAAGAGTTGGGTAGAAAGGCCACCAAGGGAGGAGCTGTGACCTTTGGTGTAGAGTTGCCGCTAGTCAGAGATGGCCCTGCAGGGAGAGAGGTGGCAGAACGGATGGCCCAGCTTTGCTTTGTATTCCCACAGCATCTCCGGCTTGGACTTCCCATTTCTTGCCCAGGCAGAAGTCAGAGAGCAAGAGATCCCACCGATGTAGTGCATATAGATCAGCCTCGAGGGGCAAAGAGCTAACATGAAGTGTGGGGCTGCAGAGGCTAATGAAAAGTATGTGGCCCAGATGGGAATTTTCAGGTACAGTTGGAGACATTTTAAGTAAGGATGGTACCTAAAAAGAAAAGAGAGAAGCACAATAAGAGCACCCTGCGACTTCCAGATCTCCATGAACCACAGAATAATCTTTCCAGAGAAACCCAGCGCCTCCCTAAGAAAGTACTTGTGGCCGTGCACTGGAACATCGCACATGACCAGGGGTGCTGACCCTTCATGTGTGCAGGATTTCTGATTGAATTTTCCTGAGTCTTTGAACTCTATATGCCATTGCCTGATTATGCCAACTTTGTGTGAAGAGGAACAGGTGGGAAGGGGAGGCAGTGGGAACTCAGACCTGGGAAGACATTTCATTTTGGTGAGCTCTCAATTGCATAACAAACCATTCTGAAGCTCAGTGGTTAAAAACAAAACCCATCATTTATTTGTTCTCATGAAGCTGCACTTTGGGCAGGACTCAGTGGGAATGGGTCATCTTTGCTTTTTGCAAGTTCATCTGAGGTGGCGGGGCAGCCGGAGGGCCAGATTCTGTGTGGCCTCACTTGCATGGTGGGCAAGTTGGTCTGGCTCACAGATGAAAGGTGAGCCAGGGGAGTGGGCCAGTGACTTCAGGCCCTCTTCATGGGAGTCTCTCAAGGCACAGCCTGGACTTTCTCACAACATGACGGTCAAGTCCCAAAGGCAAAAACGCCAACAGGGCCCGGAAGCATTGCCCATAACTAACCCTTAGAGTCACAAGGTGTTGCTTCGACCGTCTGTTATTTATGGAAACAGTCCCACAATCTGCCCTGTTCCAAGACAGAGGACACAAACCCCACAACTCAGTGGCAGGAGTAAGAGTCAGGTTGTAGGAAAAGTAGAAGCTACTGTCACAGCCATCTATAGAAACTACAATCTACTGCTATCACAAGTCATCGTAAATTCAGAAGAAAAAATGAAATGGGCATTACTACCAAAACATATGCCATATTCTTGAAAGCACCTTCATAATCCTATTTAAAACATCATCAAATATGCTCTTCCCAGCTTCTTCCCTGATATTCTTTATTTGTTCATCATACTTCCTCTTTAGCTGTTTTATTTTTTCCTCACGTTCTTCCTTTGAATTATGAGCGTATTCCTTTTCTACTAGTTTAATTTCGTTATTTAATTGATCGGTGTAGATCTTCTTCAGGAATTCTACCTTTCGTTTCAGCCTCTCCTCTGTTTCCTCATAAATGGAATCAGCAAAGTAAGCCCCTCCATTGCTCTGCACCATCTGCTCTATCAGCTCCACCAGCTCCTGCACTTGAACTTCTTTTTCAGCCTCAGAGGCTCTGTTATTGAAGGCACAATAGCGTTCCCCACACTACTTGATGATATATATTAGATTCACATCTGAATCTACTAAGAAGACACTCAGGCTCTAATCCTCCAGGTTATCTTTGCGAGTGAACAACACGATCATGTGCTTCAGGGCTTGCTTCCCAAAGACAGCCTTGATCAATGCCACGGTCTTCTGTTCTTCGTCCGTGTAGCGGCCCAGCTGCAGAACCATGACGATGGCGTGGGGCCCAGGGCAGGAGTAGAGGACACACTTGCTGATTTCTCTGCATGTGGTGTCCAGGGTCTCCTTGGTGTCAAAGAGCCCTGGGGTGTCAACAACAAGAAGATTCCTCTCCTTCCATCTTTCGGATGCTTTTTGACAGACCTTCGTGACCGCGTGGGCAGCAACTCTAGACTCAAAGGCTTTTCTCCCCAGGATGGTGTTTGCTGTTGCGCTCTTCCCACTTTGAGCTTTCCCCACGAGAACAATCCGCAGAGTGTTGTCCTGAGGGTCCGCCATGTCTCCACCAGGAGGCTCTAGGGCATAAACGAGGGGAAGGAGAAGAAAAAGAGTCATTGAAGGTAAATGGAAACCATCACTTCTCTCTTGTCACCTTTGCCTTCCTCCCTGAAAACCTGCAGTAGTCTACTCTCCATGTTGGTTTCATAAAGACAGAAAGATGAAACAACTCAATCACCAAGGAAGAAACAACAAAGTAAAGAGTTCCCCTCCAAAAGCGTACCAGGTTCAGATGGTTTCGTGGGGAACTCACTTAAACCTTTATTAAACTGTTCTTGATGACTTAAAAAGGAAGGAAACATTCCAATTCTTCCTGTAACAGAAATATGATATTGATCCTGAAGGCTATCAAAGATTTTGCCAATAAATAAAACTACAGGTGTGTCTTATTTGTGAATACTAATACAAAAACCCCAAATAAATGATTAGACACTAAAAAGTAATCCCCCACGATTAAATGTGATTTATTTCACAAATATAGGGTGGCTTCATAGGAAAAAATAGATTGTTAGAACACATCCCCATTAGTAGATTAAGAAGAAAAATACCTAGATGCACAAAATATATTTCCCCAGATTAAACACTGATTTAATAGATACTTCTTTAACATGATTTTATATAAATACAAGTTAAAAAAATTTTGTCACCACTATTTTTTCCCTGCAGCTAAATAGTTGACTATAAATTTCTTTTGGATAAGTGAAAAAATAAAATTAGCCTGTACAATCAAGAAAGAGAAGAACATTGAGGGAGGACCAGCTCTACCAGATAGTAAAATATTTTAGCCTCTATAATTCATACAGTATGATGTGTGCATGAATAGAGAAGAAGTACATGAAACAAAAACAGACAATTCAGAAATAGACCAAATTGACCTACTATATTCATGAGTGTCCAATTCAATTGTATTATGTTACAATTATCTTCCATAAGGCAACATCTCACAGCAATGGGGGGAAAGATGGACTGATGACTAGCATTGGGATAACTATAAAACAACACAGAGTAAGACAAAACTGCATTCACTTCTTCACGCCCTTCAAATTCTAAATACCTTAGAAATCTAAACATTAAATATCAATCCATATAAATACTAGAAGAAAGTCAGAGAAATGCTTTGTAACCTAGAGGCAGGGAAACTATTTCTAAGACTTGAAAGAGATTAAGGAGCCATACACAAAAATAAACTCAAAATGGATGAAGGACCTGAATGTGAGATAGGAAACCATCAAAATCCTAGAGGAGAAAGCAGGAAACGATCTTGACTTCAACCACAGCAATTTCTTACTCAACATATCTCCGAAGGCAAGGGAATCAAGAGCAAAAAGAACTGTAGAGACCTCATAAAGATAAAAACCTTTTGCACGGCAAAGGAAACAATCACTAAAAGTCATAGGCCACCGACGGAATGGGAAAAGATAGTTGCAAATGACATATCGGATAAAGGGCTAGTATCCAAAATCTATAAGGAACTCACCAAACTCCACACCTGAAAAATAAATAATCCAGTGAAAAAAAATGAGCAGAAAACATGAACAGACACTTCTCCAAAGAGGACATCCAGATGGCCAACAGACACATGAAATGATGCTCAGCGTTACTCATCATCAGGGAAATACAAATCAAAACCACACTGAGATACTACCTCACGCTGGTCAGAGTGGCTAAAATGAACAAATCAGGAGACTTTATATGCTGGAGAGGGTGTGGAGAAATGGGCACTCTCCTACACTGTTGGTGGAATGTAAACTGGTGCGACCACTCTGGAAAACAATGTGGAGATTCCTCAAAAAATTAAAAATAGAACTCCCCTATGACCCAGCAATAGCACTGCTAGGATTTTACCCAAGGGATACAGGAGTGCTGGTGCATAGGAGCACATGTACCCCAATGTTCATAGCAGCACTCTCAACAATAGCTAAAACATGGAAAGAGCCCAAGTGTCCGTCAATTGACGATTGGATCAAGGAGATGTGGTTTATCTGTACAATGGATACTACATGGCAATGAGAAAGAATGAAATCTGGCCATTTGTAGCAACGTGGATGGAACTGGAGGGTGCTATGCTAAGTGAAATAAGTCAAGCAGAGAAGGACAGATATCATATGTTTTCACTCATATGTGGAACAGGAGAAACTTAACGAGGACCATGGAGGAAGGGAAGGGGAAAAAATAGTTAAGGAGAGGGAGGGAGGCAAACCACAAGAGACTCTTAAATACTGAGAACAAACTGAGGGCTGATGGGGGTGGGGGAGAAGGGAATGGGGTTGATGGGCATGGAGGGGGGCACTTGTTGGGATGAGTACTGGGTGTTATATGAAAACAAACTTGACAATAAACTATAAAAGAAAAAAATAAAAATAAAAATAAAAATTGTGGGGAAAAAAGAAAGAGAGTAAGGAAAAGGATTCATACATCTGACTTCATAAGACCTAAAAGACAATGTGAGACAAAGAATACCACAGACATTTAAAATACAAATGTCAGACTGGAGGGATACTTTTTCCAACCTATATCAAAGAGGGTATTGTCCTCTTCTACAAAGAATACCTAAAATCAGAGAGACAAATGACCAACAGCTAGTTAGAAAATGGAGAAAGCATATGCATAAACAGTTCAAAGGAAAAAAAGCAATGTCAATGCCCCTTGACTATATAAAAAGATATTAACACTCAAAGTACAGAAAAATAAATCAAACACAGAAAAAAAGAAAAGAAAAGAAATAAATTAAAATTACACTGAGATACTATTTCTTCACCTACGGGCTTGACAAAAACTCAAAAAATTGCTGCTATAATTGGTTGGTAAAGGTTGAGAGGAAACAGGTCCTCTTCTCTGTGGCTAATGGGAATAGAAAAACAATCTAAAACCTATAGAGGAGAAATTAGGAAGATCTTACAAAAGTACATGTACATTTATCCTTGGATTATAAGTCCAAATTTTAGGATTTATGCCTGTAGTGGCCAAGGGTGGGTCACCCCAAAATGTGCCACTTTGGCATACTGACTATTTTAAATAAAAGTTACTTAAGATACAGCCTGTGGGGGAAGGTCACTCAGACCCTCCTCTGTCCCCCTGCAAGCAGAAAACAAATCTCCCATGTGAAACGAGCCTTTTCTGTCCTAGGAGGTAAAGAGACACCCTTATGACCAGGGATGGGAGATTTAGAGCCATGAAGGCTGTCTAAACAACCGATTACTTTCTCCTAATTTACTCCCCCAGCCCAAAGTCTCTTTAGAATTCCTCCATAACAGAAGCTCTCAAAGTTAAGTTTCCTTGTCTTGTCAATTCTTCACAGATCTGTTATCTCTATGTCTAAAAAATATATAAACTGCCTTCCCTGGTCATTTCTCTTGGTCTCAGTTTCATTACTGAACACCCGTGCACAGGCTTCTTTTCTCCTGCTAATCTGTCTCAAGGAAATGTAATTCTTAGTGCAGCTGGAAGACCTTGAAGGGTAGAGGAAGTTTTCCTTCCTTATACCCCAGAGCTACACTGAAAAAAAATACAGGAAAAGATTAGGCATGTGTTTATTCTCTGCATTACTATTTGTGATAGAGAATGACCAAAAATCTACCAAATGCCCACTACTAGGGGACTGTTTGAATAAACTAAGGTATATTCACACAGTGAAGTACTACCCAACTGTAGAAAGAGATAAGAAATATCTCTATATGCCAGGATGGAGAGATCTCCAGGATATTCATTAAGCAAAAAAAAAGGCAAAGTAGAGAAAATAATGTATACTTTACTACTATTTCTCTAATGGGGAGGAACGTGAACTATTGGTACAAAATACAACATATATTTCATGTACATGAAAAAGGAATGGCAGATAATTTGAATCGTCAACAAAGAAAGAAGTGACTGACATGGGGATTGGGGGACAGGGTAGAAGCTGGAAACTACTTTGAATATACTTAGATTTCATGAATTTGTCTTGAAAACATGTACTTCCTTCTTTTTGAAAGTTCAAATTACACCTCTTTGCTTTTATGAAAGACCAACATATGTACCTGCTATTGCTGGCTGAAATAAATTCTAAGAGGGCTTTTCATTTTTACAATAACAGCTGAAAGTGAATACAGCATTTCACACTTGTTTTACAGGGAGTTGAGCTAGTAGAGAGCCAGAGCGTGCCCTTGGCCTTCCAATTGCCAAGCACCTTCCCTGGGAACCCCACACAGGGGCTCAGCATCCAGCCACCAGAGCTGTGAGCCAGATGAGCATGTGAGCTTTCTGTCAATTGATTTTGTGCATCTGTTAGCAAGTTGTGTCTAAAGCTATCAGAAACACAGAAGGGAGGCTATTTTGGGTGGATCCGGGAATGCTCAAACCTTTTTCCATATAAATTAATGGTGACTGCTCCTCCACTTTATGTCATTTTGATTCATAAGGGATTTCATAGGAACATTCGGCTTTCAGATAGTGGAGGAAATCTGTAAATAGCTGACATAATTATAAAACAAAAACTATATTTTAGGATAACTAGTAAAAATCAAGAGCAAATGGAATAGCTGGTATTTGGAGTAACAGACAACCCACACAAAGAATGGTCCAAGAAACTTGAAAATGCAGTCATTTCATTGTCCATCCCTAAGGAAATAGAGCATATGGCCAAATAGGGGGAAAAAAATCTTGAATTGTTTTCAGGAATCCTGTCCTATTCTTGGCTTTTTGTGCACGTGTGTAATTTGAAGCCCAGTGACAAGCCCAGTGGCAATGAGCACACTTAGCGCGCATGCTGTGCTCTTCAAATGCCATTTCCCACCAAAAACATTAGGATTTTTAGGAGAAGGTACTGATTCCAGATCTGGGCCAGGAAAGGTGCAAGTGGATCCTAGACTATCTTGTCATAATAAAAGCAAGGATGCTATCAAGAACTACTCAGAGCATGGGATACCTGGCTAGCTCAGTCGGTAAAGCATGCAACACTTGATCTCAGGTTCATGAGTTCTAGCCACGCTTTGGGTGTAGAGAGGACTTACCAAAAAAAAAAAAAAATGCTTGGATCTGATCAAAAGGACTAAAGAGCCAACTTGAAGAGGCTGACGGGACAGAGATGGGGTAATTTGAGTATCAATGAGAATAACAATTCCAATGAATTAAAATATTTAAAATATAGGGGCGCCTGGATGGCTCAGCTGGTTTAGCGTCCAACTTCAGCTCAGGTCATGATCTCACAGTTCATGGGTTCGAGCCCCCCATCAGGCTCTCTGTGCTGACAACTCAGAGACTGGAGGCTGCTTTGGATTCTGTGTCTCTCTCTGTCTGTCTACCCTTCCCCAACTCGTGCTCTGTCTCTATCTCTCGCAAAAATAAATAAACATTAAAAAATTTAAAAACTATATATATCAAATATGTTGAAATCCAAGAATTCATAATAATACTATCATCTTAAAAGAAGTGAAGTGTTCCCTTTGGGGTATGCTAGGAAATGATGTCATCATTCTGCACATGGGCCAATAAAGGGAAAGAGCATTCCTTTTGTCTTATATAACTACACCTCATGGAAATGAAAGTATTGTTGAAGGAAGTCTCTTTTTATAGGATTATGCCATCCAATAAATGAGGAAAGAATAATAGAATTAGAATATTATAATTTGTGACCCTTAAGGAAACAAACTTACTTTAGGCAATCATTACTGTCTGCTACATCACGGAAAGAGACAGAAGAAAACATAAGGTGCCTTCTAATGGAAGTTTACAACTGCGTCTATGAAATATTCCCACCCAAATCACCAGGCAAACCTTAATCTGATCAAGCCTCTTCTTAAATATAAATTTATACAAAACACTGAAACTAGAAGAACATGTCAAATGACATCTTGAGGATTAGAGACCAAAATGCACACTGTCCAATAATCTGGGACAAAAGACCACCAGTTTCTTAAACAGAAACATTTCACAAAAAACCAGGAAGGTAGAAACTTCTTCATCAAATTAAACTTAAGAGATATCAAAGAATTGCAATTTATGAACCGTACTTGGATCTGATTTCAATTTAAAAATCTATGAGACGGGGCGCCTGGGTGACTTAGTCGTTAAGCGTCCGACTTTCACTTAGGTCATGATCTCGCGGTTCGTGGGTTCGAGCCCCACGTCGGGCTCTGTGCTGACTGTCAGCTCAGAGCCTGGAGCCTGTTTCAGTCTGTGACTCCCTCTCTCTCTGACCCTCCCCTGCTCACACTGTCTCTTTCTCTCTCCTAGAAATAAATAAAACATTAAAAATAAGTTTAAAAAATCTATGAGACAAACGGTGAATCAGGATACATCTGGTAATTTTTTAAAATTCAAATTGATATCTGAAATCAGCTTATAGTATATTTTTAATAGTCTTTATCTTTCAGATATACATATTCAAATACTTACTGATACAGTGACACAATGTCTGACATTTGCGTTAAAATACTCTGGGGTGAATGTGAGGGGTTATTAGATGTCCTAAGGTTGACATCAGTTGGTCATGGTTGAAGCCTGGTATAAGAACATGGAAGTGCTCTACATTATTCTTCTTATCTTTGAAGGAGTTGGAAATTTCCCATAATAAAAATGAATGTATACCATATACCAAGCACACTGATAAATATGTTTTGGTCATTATCTTACTTACTCTCCCAAAAATAGCCTGCAAGGAAGCTAATTTTTATTATTCTCATGTTTAAAGTTTATGTATGTATGTATGTATGTATGTATGTATGTATTTTTTGTTTGTTTATTTATGTAATCTCTCCACCCAACGTGGGGCTCGAACTCACAACCCTGAGATCAAGAGTCCCATGCTCTTCCCACTGAGCCAGAGAGGTGCCCCCACTCTCATTTTTTAAATGAGGAAATTGATGTGGCTCAGGAATCCTGAGAAACTTGCCCAAGGTCACGGTGCTAATGGACATTGGGCAGAGGACGGATCCAATCCAAAGTATGTCTGACTCCCCTACACTCATGCATAACCCTTGCATGCTCTGGCCTCTTCCTGGTTCCTTCTCAGGTCCTTGATTCTACATTTCTGTTTACACCTGATCAGAAATAGATCAGGAGAGACAAAGGGAGGTAGTTCACACTCTGTCCAGAAATGTGACAAGCCTGGAATGAGGGAAGGCAACCAAAGGGCTTCAGGCACATTTTTTTTTTCTATAGAATAGCTCCTTCTCTCCCCATGGCACCCCTTCCTTACATCCTCTGTTACACTGTCAATCATGCCATTTCTCTTCTTAAATGTTGCAAAGGATACAACCAGCTGAATTCTAGACTTCCTGTGCCATTAGTGTCCTGGGTATCCCTGGGAGATTGATGAAACCACATGCACACGGTCTGGGATTCAGAATCTCTTTCAAGAAAAAGAGGAGTTGGGACAGACTGTTCTCTAAATTGCCTTCCAGCTCTAAAGACTTGCTTTGAGGAGACTAATTTCCCACTAAGGGAAATGGATAGAGTGTCAGGCAGCACTCAATGTCTGTCACGACAGCAACTGATAGAAGATACGCTGTTCAGCAAGTTTGTCCTGTTGAATAGGAGACATGTGGACATTGGAACAATCAGTCACCTTACCCCCACCCTATTTTCCACCGGGACCCCTGTGGCAACATCTGCCTTGCTGGGCTGCTGGCAGAGTACTCGGTGCCCTCTCAGACCAGAGCCCACCCCCACACACACCCCTGTGTCCTGCTACCCCTCCTGGTTTCATTGCTCTGAAACCAGGCTCACCTTCTGTTGAATGAGCTGAGGAGTTCTGGTTCTTCTCCAAAGAAGTTGTTTGAGCTGGTGCTTTTGCTTTAACTGTGAGGAAAAAGTGTTTGCACCCTTTAAACCTCTGAGCCAGGAAGCTCAGATTGGGTGGAGCCAGTGAAGGAACAGTTTGACTTTAAAGAGACAGATATATTTCCCTATACTTTGAGGAGTGCTGTAGTTTTGCCGAGGTGAAACCTTTTTCTCCATGTGCCTGCTATCACACCAAAATTTCCTAAGCGATATTTATTGTTTGGGGTTATAGTGTTGGATCCCAAATGTCCTTACTAAGTGACCCAAATCATGCACACAGAGCCAGGCATGATGTCTGATCATCTTCCCTGGATGGAGTAGGAGACCCTGTGTGATTCTGGGAAGAAGAAACTCAGATATGTGATGAGGTGTGTCCAAACTTAGAGCTTGGGGATACTTCCCAGTGATTTTATCATGTATGGGTTTTCATGATGGTCTTTCATGAAAGTCTCAAGTTACCCATTAAAAATTTAACAGCACTCACGTACAAAGCCAAAAGAATCTAAACCACTGGGAACCAAGAGAAAAAGAGGAAGATGTGGCCTGGAAAAAGTCTTCCAAAGACCACACACCTTCTCTAGTTTTCTGCATATGGTTCTTTCAATCCTGAAAATATGCATGATCTGACAAGAAAAGATGAACCCAGGAAGGAGACTCAACTTTCCCCTACAACCTTCCTATCTTCCCCTACCCCAGACCCAGGCAGAGAGATTTTCCCAGATTTACCCAGTGCATGCATTCCAACCTGTTCTGAAAACTTTGAGATCAAAGGCAGATGGTCAAAGTTCTCATGGTCGACCAGATCTTCCAAATGTCTGTTGCATCACCAAAAAATTATCGTGTTTTTTATTATATATTTTTGTTCACTACATTGAGACATCAGACTAGTCGATGCTCAAGCTTGAAGGTGGGTACTAGTGGACTTAATGTAGCAGGGAGTAGTGGGCAATGGGGTGGCAACCCATGGAGAAAAGCAGCTATACTTGGAAATTGCAGTGTTAATGATGATATTATTGGTCCATATCATTGGACCAGTTATTAGTGCTAATGACTTAGAGGGACCCAGGTAGCTGTTTTCTACCTTCCAAAAAGGACACAGACCAGGACCAGCTATGTAATTTGCAAAGTCTGACACAAAATGGAAATGCCAGGCCCTTTGTCAAAAACAAACAAACAAACAAACAAACAAAAACATTAAGAATTTCAACATGACATCAATAGAGCTAATAAGCCCTTCTATGCACAGGGTCCTTTACAACTGTTCAGGTCACATACCCATGAAGTTGGTCTTGATGCGGCTGCATACAGATAGGTCTAGAGGAGAGCCAGAACCATGTCTCCTGCTCAAAATACCTCAACCATTGCCTAGTTTCATTTCAAGCCACATATTCCTTAAGTGAAACTTATCCAGCCAGACCCACCTTGGCTGTTTTCCTGGTCAGCTAAATGCTTCTCCAGGTATTATGCTCAGGTACACTGGTAGGTTCCTAGAGGGAACAAGAGAGTAGTTGACAGAAGAATCCATGGGTGCCGCACACAGGCAATCAGATGCGGGTCTCAGAGGGTAACAGCCTTGAGATCATTGGTCAAAGAGGACCATATGGCTCCTACCAGTGCCATCCTGAGCCCTAACTTAGGAATGATCTCCTTCTAGAAGATTTTTTTGATAGAAGAGGTGTTTCCCCATATATATATTATTCACTTAACCACGCTCCTCATCTTTGATGGCTCCCTTCCACTTGCACCTATGTTGTGAGCCACCTGCCTCTCCACTGCTGGTCCCCGCCTGTAACCCCTGTAGTAGCCCTCTTGACCTAGGATGTTGCTCCTCAATATACTCAGAAGCAGAGGGATGAATGTGGACAAAGCCATAGCTTCCTTTTCACATTTTCCTATTATTCTTTCCATCTCACACACACACAACAATGTGGATATAATGAATTTTTCAAAAAGTTGTGGGGTCATTAAAAAACATTCTTTGAATTCTCCAGGAGTCTTCTTTGTGGGGCTGCTCAAATCTAAATAACTTCAAAGCTGAACTTATTACGACATTGCAGAAATAATAACAGGAGATTAAAAAGAATGGTTCCCCACATGTTCTAGTACATATACATATCAACTCTATAATCAGAGTGGGTCAGTTTCCTATTGCTGCTGTAACAAATTACCAAAACTTTAGTAGCCTAAAACAATATAGACTTCATCTCCTACAGACATGGAGGACAAGAACATGAAGTTAGTTTTATGGAGATAAAATCAAGGTCTCCGCAGAGCTACTTCTTTCTGGAGGCTCCAGGAGAGAATCCATCCCTTGCCTCTTTAATTTTCTAGAAGCTGCCAGCTTTCCTTGGCTTGTGGCCACCTCACATCAACATATATTGCCTCCATGATATTGCCTTCTTGCCTTTGTGATTATATCTGGGGCCCACCCAGATAATCCAGAATAATCTTCACATCTCAGAATTATTCACTTAATCACAACTGCAAAGATCCTTATGCAATTAGGTAACATTAACAGGCACTGGGGATTAGAGTATAGCCATCTTTCAGGTGCCAAAATTCAGCCTGCCACATTTGGGTAAAACAATCTCTCTGCAACTCACTTTCCTAATCTTTAAAATGGAGTACCTACTTCAGAGGGTCATTGTGAAACCAGATAAAGTCGTACACATGAAGTGGTACTCAGGCCATAAATAGGTATAAGTTAGTAGTAGTAATAGAACCCTTGATGCTAGTCTCATAGATTACCCTTCTAAGACTCACTTGCACATCATAGGTGCTGTCTTAGTCAGTTTGAACCACCATAATACCACAGCTTGGGAGCTGGAACAATAGGAATTCATTTCTCACAGTTCTGGAGTCCAGGCAGCCCAAGCCCAATATGCCAGCCAACTCAATTCCCTTGGGAGGGCTCACTTCCTGGCTTGCAGATGGCACCTTTTCGCCATGTCTATACATGATGGAGTAAGGAAGCAGCTCTCTGGTATCTCTTCTTACAAGGGCATGAATCCTGTCATGAAGACTCCACATTCATGACCTCATGAATACCCACTTACTGCCAAAATACCTTATCCTCAAATACCATCATGTTGGGGGTTGGGGATTCTGGAGCCTTCTATCTTGCTGCCAAATAAAACTAGTCACTTGTACTTTGTAACAATCTCCTTTAAGTGAATTGTTGGCTATCACTCAAGCTTTCCTGGTTTCTCCCTACTTACTCCACCCCCAAAGGGCACTGCATGAAAAAGAAGATTCAGCACCTCCACAACCTGTCTACTAGGATAAGGGATCTCGATCACTTATCACCTGCGCTCATATGTCTTTACTGAAATTGTCTTCTGGCTCCATGGACATGTAAGAAGAGCTGTGTCTTTCAGGCTAAGAGCAGCCTTGTCACAAAAGAGACACAGGTGTTAGGTGTGACAGGGCGCTTGGGGTCAGATCCCTCAAAGGAAGTATTGACCAAGCCATCATGAAATAAAGGCCATGCCCCCAAAGATCCTTGTACTGTCTTCCACTCTGATATATCTGGTTATTAAACACAACCCTTCAGTCCTGTTCTCAAACAGATCTCTGCTTCCTTCTAAGGCTTCTCTGAAGACTGCCAAAAACCACCACTCAGAATTTGTGTCTTCAGCAGCGAATCACAGCCTTGGAGCTTCAAGGGAAAAACTGTAGGAGGTGCTGTGAACTACTGTTATTTCAAAGATACTCTTTAGAGAAGGTTTCCAAGATGGCAGCACTGAGTCAGTGCTCAGACAGTACCAGTGAGCAGAGCCAAGATTATAGAGACTCTCGTCTAGAAGCATATGTACCTCATGGAATCGGACAACTGACTCAAGATCCAGCAGAGTGTGAAATAATGACATAGAACTGAGTGAACTGATTCAAGAAATACCATTGTGGTTATTTGTTTGCAATATTGATGGCATTCTCTTTAATGTTCTACTTGTATGGCTATTTGAGGAAACCTTATCTCTTTCTCCTTAAACTATCTCTAATTCATGAGTTAGTACACTGTATATTTGTAAACCCATAAGAACCATATTTAAATGTTAACTGATCTGCACTAACCCTCAGAATTCAGAAACAAATGCTTCTACTGAGTCTCATTCACTTTCATGATGATAGAATCATTTGCATAGGTTTAATAAAAATCTATCCTCTTGTTTACAAAGATACCATTGGAAAAGACAATTCTGCAGCAAGGCCATATGTACAGTATGATACTTGACAGTGATTTTTATTTAATCAATGACCACCAGATCACTACTAAGGAGCAATGGTTGGTGATGGTGTTCTCTGTGGAGCTAACGTCTACAAAAGCTTCCTAAGGAAACTAACATGATGTGTGGCTTCCAGAATTCCAGTCTCTCAGGTAGTAAGGAAGTCCATTCCCTGGCAGTCCAGAAACTTTGGCAAATTTTGGAGACCTCAAGAAGAGGGAAATCCACTGAGAATCATGGATACATCATGCAAATTTTATTGGACAAAGTGTTTGGGTCTTGGTTTCCTACCCTTAGGATAGAAGAATGGCAAGGGCTTTGAAAAGTCCAAGTCAAGATTCATTTTGAAAATTTCCAAAAAAGGCGGTGCCTGGGTGGCTCAGTCAGTTAGGCAGCCAACTTCAGCTCAGGTTATGATCTCATGGTTCATGAGTTTGAGCCCCAAATAAGGCTTTGGGGTGACAGCCTGGAGCCTGCTTCGGATTCTGTGTCTCCCTCTCTCTCTGCTCTCCCCTGCTCATGCTTTGTCTTTCTCTCAAAAATAAATAAATGTTAAAAAAATTTTTTTTAAAGAAAATTTCCAAAAGAAGTTTATTCCTTGGAATTTAATACGGTTAGGCTCTAGATTTGCTGAGCAAACTCAAGAAGGCTTTTCTAGTTAATTAAGATTCTTGCCGTATCTATGTAAATACTCAGGCATGCATAATAAAACTAATCTTCTACTGTTTATGATCACTAAGTATAGAATGCTATTAAAATGATCCAAAATGTAGAAATAA